CCCAGACTTCAATGAAAGAACCTAACCTGCCCCAATGTCAGAAAATAGACTTAGCTAATGCGTAAAATACGCAACAAAAAACAGGCAATGATAAATTATGTTAAAGGGAAATGAAAAATAATTGTTATTATCATATTATTCTCGGTTGGAGACAGACACTCGTCTCTCTTCTCTCCCCATCCTCGCGACATCCCACATCGAATAGACATTCATTCTGTTCGTTCGCAACGCCTAAAGCGCTTAGTTACCATAGAAAACAAATGGCATCAACATCTCTATTATTTTATCTTGCTTTCTGCTTCTCTCTTTTTCATCTGAGGTATCACCTACTCTCTTTCTCTCTCTCACTCGTTCTTTTGGGCTACACGTAGGCACTTTGGAAGCTTTGATGTTAGTGTGTGTGTGTGTGTGTGTTACGTCGTCGCTGTGAACTGACGGAAAGAAGCAAAACAAACCATAAACGTGCGTAGCCAGCCAGAATGCGAATGCGAATACGAATGCGAAGGCGAAGGCGAAAGCAAAAGCGAAACCGAAAAACAAGAAACTAAACGAAGCATAAAGCAAAAAATTCAACCACAGTTTTAGTCAAAGGGTCGACATGAAACCCCGGTACTTCCACCGTCGTCCCACTTCCCTCATCCATCGTTTGCCGTCAGTCGTCAGCTGTCCGACGTTCCCGCTCCGTCCTCTTCTCTAACTCCAGCCCCAACCCAGCTAAAGCCATAAGTCAATGTCAATGGCACGCAGACAGACAAACGACACACCACATACACACTGACACTCACACACAAACGCACACACACACACACACTCAGAGCACGCAACTTTTTTGGGGCAGTGCTTTAACGGAGCTTCCATGTTTTAAAGGGCCTTGACATGCGGCGTTCACCTGACGAGCTCACAATGCGATGTTTACGGGCGGCGCTTGGAGTGCTTCGGTCTGCAAGAGAAAAAGTGCAAAAAACAGAATTTACAATTTACAATCGAGGATAATGACGATAAACGATAAGCAAAACTCTCATTAGTTTCAAAATTAATCCACGCCGTAGAACAAGTAACTTATGCCTTATCTTATTTAAGCTCACATACACACACACACAACATATACAATATAAACTCACACAGACACATTCACATTCACATTCGCTCTCTTGCACTCCCACTCCCGCTGCAGCTGGGCAATGCAAACTCGTTTTTGCGCGACGCCTTTAACGGTAAACAAAAGCACAAATCTCTCAACTCAATAACTCAATAGTTCACAATAACTCAGCACAGATAGCACATGTTTCAGAATGGGAACTCGGATTTTCGATGCACACATATTACTTAAGAAAAACGTTATAGCAATTAAATTTTTGTACGTACATATGTATATAGCAAGTTGTGAGTGGAAAGTACTTGAAGTGGATATTTGGCTGCCGCAATTTTGGGACGTTTATTTTTTTGGCGGATGTTTGCTTTTCAACGTTTTGCGTTCATTTGAAGCCGTCGCCCGACGATTTCTTGTGCGCCGCTTGGTCGCTCTGCCTCTGCCTCTGCCTCTGGCTCTGCCACGGCCTCTGTCTCGGGCTCGGCCAACGACGTCGACGTCGCCGGCTGCGACGCGCACGCGGACTCCGAGGTTTCGCCCGCTTCTGTATCTGTGCGTATCTCACAGATATTACCCCACGGTCGCACAGAGTATCTGTGTGTATCTGTGTGCCTAGTAGTACACTGCCTTGCCTTATGTGTGTGTGTCTGTAGTGAGCGTGCTGCGTGTGTTTGTATATGCGTGTGAGCGAGTATCTATGCTATCCATGCACGCAGCGCCTCGTCAAATGTCCCACGTTTGGTACTTTTCGAGTCAACTGCATGACAGTTAGACGACTAACAACCGTTTACTCTAACTGGTACTTTGCGTGCATTGCGAATTCGAAATCGGGAAATTTCCCTTGCTGCGTGCCGGCAACGGCTGAAAAATTTCCCGGCCACGTGCTTGCTCGCATTGTTATTGCAAAGGCTTTGTTGTTATTGTCGTTGGCCCGCTGGTCCGTTGACTTTGTGCTTTTTCGCAGCGGAGCTTTCAGCTTTGCGTTTTCGTTTGCCGTTGCTTTTGCCTTTTGCTTTTGCTCTGCTCTAGTACATAACATAACCTTGCCCCCATCGCTGACACTGTTGTTGTTGCCAATCGCCGGCGCGTCTTCAATTCATTTATGGAGCACTTTTAGGCCGTCTGCGACCCATTTAGATTTTCGTTTTTCTTATTGCCTTATGGCTTATGCCTCGGCCTCTCCTACACACACGCAAACCACACACATATAGTCATGTATATAGAAAGCTGTTGTTGTAGTTGTTGCAATTAATGACCATTTGAATTATATTTGTGCTCGTAAAATTTACAAGAATTGTTTGCTGGCATTTGCCTGGCACTCATCCTCTCCCCAATGGAGCCTCTTCCACAGAATCCAGTTTCCCATTCACTTTGTACGTAGACAGCACAAATTTTTACGACTTTTCTGTACAATGCGCAAATACTTTCACAATGGACCAACGCCCAACGTCCGCAGCAGCATTCTGACCCGGACCCAGACCCAGACCCAGACCCGGACAGAGGCACCCTACAACCCAAGCAAACCAACATGCCCCAGCCCGACCCAACCATGCCTGGTACCCGGTCAGAACGTGAAATTATTTACCGTTGGCCCGGACTGCGGGCTAAAGGAATCAGGTCTTTTATTATAGATTTTCTAATTTCATAAATAGTTTGTAAATAATGAAATTATGCAATAGCCGTTTATTAAATTTCTAAAAAATAGTTCCCATAGAAGGGAGCTACTTGAGTAAGCAAAGGAATTAGATGTTTTATATGGATATGCATATCTGATATTTTTCTGACTTTAGCACTATTTTAGTAATAGTAATATCTACAAAAGTCAAAGCTAGCTTCAGATTTCAACACTAGTTTACATCTGCTATCAAGTCTATATATGTATAATAGATAGATAGGCGCTACAGATCGGGAGTTACATTGTTATTGACAGGACAAGAAGGATTAATATATCTTATGGGCACATATTATTTACACAAATTGATATGTCTGAAGATTATTAATGTTAGATATAAGAGTATTCAAAATTTAAATAAATATTATCTTATTGACTAAAATATATATTTATGCATTTAGCAATATTATTAGCAATAGCAAAGTATCGTCTAAGAATGTTATATATATTAGAAAAGCAAAATTAATTGAAAAAGTTCTTTAATATTTATCTTGAAACCATATACATAGATAGATGTGTGCAGGGGAATATGCATTGCAATAATATCCTCGGGATAATTGTATTGCAGAGATAATAATAATAAACTACCCTGAGCTATATGCGCGGACCACCCTTACAGCTTGCAACTGCAACTGTGTAAGTAAACGTTACCTACTGGCATGTATCTGTGTGCGTGAGTGTGTGTGCGTATGCGAGTGTGTGCATACTTCGCAAGGCTAACCCCTAATTGCAGTGCCATAAAAAAGTGCAATTTGAACAAAGGACAGCGAATGAGCAGAGCTCTCAGAGCGACAAGATAGAGGAGAGGCTGCTGGCACCAGGCAGCAGGACAGCAAGGATTAGACATTAGCCGCAGAAGCACCACTACGAGATGCAGAAGAAGAATAAGAAGAAGAAGAGGACACCCCAACAGCATCAACTTATGCGGAACTGCATTTTCACTTTTGCCACAGAGAAATGAACACGATTTGCACTGGATGGCGAGATGGCAGTGGGGATCGGGTCAAGTTGATGGAAGCTGAAGTAGCATATGTTTCTGTCTGCTGCCAGTTGGCAGTTATCCGTAATGTGTGCATACAATGAGTGTCCTGCGTCCCGCCTCCCACCTCCCGCCTGGCGTCAGATGCGTCCTGCGTTTTGTGGCAATGTCAAGATGCAAATTTCGCTCGCACATGATATCGAAAATCTCGAGAACTGCACCCAATCAACTGGAAATTACCAAGCGTCGAGTTAAGTGCCCAGCAATAGCAGCAAAGCAGCACCGACTCACAGTGCGCAGCTGAATTGATAACAGATTCAGCGAAACGACAGCAACAACAATTACAGCAACAACAATGGATAGCAAAAACAACAATGAAGGGCGATAAGCGACGCAAGCGGCTCGCGGCTTGCGGCATGCGGCACGCGGCCCACGGCTTCGCGGTACTCGACTGCACAAGCTGGAGCCAGCCGGTGGGTCGGCCGGCGTCTAGCGTGGGCGTGGCGGCAGCAACAGAACTATAGTGCACCCTGTTGCGCCAACGGTAGTGCGCCAGCAAATGCCGTTGCTCAGCTAGTCGTACCGCACTGAAAATCCATAGCCGGACGAGGCGAGCGAGCCAGCGCGATGCGACGTAGCGTGAGTGTGAGGGAGACAGATGCGGCTGCTGCGGCCATTTTGGTGGGAGCAGGCCCGATATAGTCAATGGCAACAACAACAAAGACGCAACCATCGCCCTCGCGAAGCCAGCGGCAGCGCCAGCGCCAGCGTCGCCGTCGACCGCGACGGCGCCCGCCACTGCAGCTGGTCAGCGGCCCAGTCTTTGGAGACTTGCCGCAACTTCGAAGCGTACGTACGACTGAGCAAGACTCTGAGCAATGGAATTTGACGTCTGCGACTCTAGAGAATCAGCTGCCTCTGTCTGTGACTGCGTCTGTGACTGTGTTTCTGTCTGTGTATGCGCGAAGCCTGAGCGAAAACTTTTGAGTGAAAGAATGGCAAGTGGCCAGAGATGATTTCCAGAGACTCCCACTCATTCTCCCGACTTGACAAAATGGTACTTGGAACTCAAATTTGGGTTTCTCATGCCTCGATATTGTAAATTTGCAAGCAACTAATTATTAATTTTGTAATACATATTTTAGTACACAAATAGCAAATCGCATTACTGCACTAAGGAATTTTATTAACTTTCATCAATGCCCGATTTGAGTGTGTGACTAATTAAATTTGAAACATTCTTCTCGTTTCAGCTTTTTATTTGAAAAACTATTCGTACACCATTTTATAATTTTATTTTGCTTCGCGTTGTGTTTTATAATGTTTGCAGATCAAGCTCATAAAACTTGTGGATTATAACTATAAAAGTACACTTCACAGCACGAAGGGTTGGTATACAAATTTATTATCTTTTTAAAAGATATATGCATACATTTTTATTAGCATAAATATTAGCATAAAATCTGTGGGCGATCGCTGACGAAAAAGATGGAAATAAAAGTCTTGATGCATTTCAAATGAACATTGTTTACGGCCGTGTAAAGTCAAGTTACAAAAACCCATAAACCTCTTTGTCTACTCCAATAAAAACGCGAATAAAACATAATTCGATAATGATTGAAAAAAATCCCGTCCGACGGCTTTTTGCGCATGAATCGATCATAATTATGCGACTTGAGGCTCTCGCTTATCCTCGAATAATTTCCCGCTTTCAAGCCCCCATTAACATGGCCGTAAAACCAGCAATGGACCGAAAGTTCCGTCGGGTCTTCTCTGTCTCTATCCCCTTCTCGCTCTCGCTCTACCTTTCTTTCTCGCCCTTGAAATCTACGGCTCAGATTCACCGTCTTAGAGTGATCAATATGATTTTGAAGAGACCTTAGAATTATTATTCAAATTTAACCTCGGCTCCAGCTTTTGAATGGACGATCCGAAACTTGATTCATGTGTTCATAAGCCGATCCGTGTGCTCAGTTTCACAATTTCATGAACTCACTTGGCAGCTGCAACCATTTCTAATTTCATTTAAGTAATCAACGGCAAAGATGGTCTACGCGGCTCCATTTTAGCCTGGGGCTACAGTCCGTTGGGGCGATTCAAAGTGAAGGTTTTATTTCGTTCTAATACTCGTGCGCGCCGCAAAGGGGGTATATCTGGCCACTAGGCCAACTCACGAGTCGCCTAAAACATATTAACTACATTTATGTATATAGTTATCCGATTGGAGTTTGGAAAGGTCTTATCTCATCCATTGAGCCAAGATCAGATTTGCAGCGGGACTCTGTGAATTTGTGTAATATAATTGGGCGGGCGGTTAACGAGTATTGCACAGTCGGTTACGCTCTGAGTTGTTGTTTTTCTGTTTGTTTTCTGCTTTTGCTTGACTGGACGCCGCACAGAAATTACCGATTTGTGTAATTCTCGCCGTGTTTCGATTGTCTCAGCACATTATGAATGGGCCGATAAAATGCATTCATTATTGCCATTAGTGACCGTAAATTGGTGAATAAATGTGACACAATGTCGGCCTGGCTGCTCTCCCCCTCCCTCTCCTGCTGCCGCCTTCTCCGGGAGCTGAGGCACGTCATTGGTGGAGCCGATGCGAATCTGAATCCGAATCCGAGTTCGCATCCGAATCCGAGTCCAAGTGGCATGGCTGACGCTGCTGACAGAGACGTTATTCCAGTTTTAAATCTGCGGCGGAATGCTGGCAGGGATGCTGGCCGAGCACGGCAATTAATACGATGCACTTAATGCCCTCATAATAAGGTGTTTTTATTACGCAACAACAATCAACAATATCTTCGAGAGCACTTAAATGCGCCGTTGCACCTTTCCCCACTGTCCACCCGACAAGCGCAGCATCTGCGAAAATATTATTTTACCAAATATTGAGTACCCCTGCTGGCAGGAGGCAAATGTCTTGAAATATTCGACTGCCATTTTGGGCAATATTCAAATGAAACAGCAATTTTAAATTTGTAATTGCTGTCTACAATCGTAAGTATAGTTATCATCTCCGAGTCCGAGTGTGAGTCCGAGGGTGAGTGCGAGTTCGAGTCCGACCCGAGTCGGTGCTAATTATCAGGCATTCGCAGTAGCCGCTTATCGCCAGCTAATGATTTTTACTGTCACTTAAATACAGATTTAATGACTTTATTAATTCAATTCATTTCAATTTGATTCTCCCCCGTCTGATGTCAGTCTGACAGTCGCTAGGGGACACCTTGCGATCAGCTCGTGCTCTCTGCATTATCAGCTCTTCCCCCTCACCTTCCTGCCCCAGCTCCCAGCTGCGGAGAGCAAAAAGCAAAAGCGAAACAAAATTAACAAATACGAAGTAAAAGAATTTATATACATATAATAAATTATTATAATAAAGAAAAATCCATTAAAATTTAATAATGTGTAATCAACGACTTTTGCACTTTTGCGCTCGATGCCTATGAAGTTCCATAATTATAAAATAATCATTTATTATGGAGCACTTGATTGGCTTACGTTAGGTACACACACCCTATATGTTCCAGCTCTGAATAAAAATGAATTCGGCTAGGGCTGAAAATTCAGTTTATTCAGCTGTGCTGCTTTTGATATGATTTCTCAAAACATTACTGTAAATATCTAAATATGAATGGGTTCCCATGACATGAGCAATATTTATATTAAAATTCAAATCAAAATATCTTCCATTGTCATCTATATTGAATAAAGCAATGAAACAAAAAGGCCTGCTTCAACAATTTGACCGTTGTATAAGTAGAAGTATTAGGAAACAGCATGGATTAATTTATTTTGGCTTTATTAAAATGATGATGATGGATCTGTAGAAATTAAAAGAAATTCAAAAGCATCAAACGTAAAATTATTATGCAACAAGGGGCAACCCATATCTATGCTGAATTTCAACTCCAATTTAAATCTAGTCCTAGCCATGACTTGAATTTGCATTGGAGATATCATTCTAATATATAATATAGGTTGATAGATTTGAATGGGCTGTGAATATGATTTATACGAGCTTAAGTATCAAAAGGTTATCAAAAAAAAAAACCTTTTCGGACGTGAGTATAAATTTTAGTATTCAGTGCATATATGTATATTTGAAGTTCCACATGCTTTGCATACAAACAGGAGGGCAGAGGAAAGCCAGAATGGACATGGTATACACAACTAATATTCTCGTTTACTTCTTGAACAACTCTAGCGAAATAGAAAATCATTAAATGTATAGAAACAGTATATATCCTTTATATAAGAGTGTGATTTCCAC